CCCAAATGACACATCCCCACGCTCTGGGGACTGTGCCCTGCAGGGTGACATGCAGTGATGCCCGGTCCAAACACCGGTTCTGATGCCACGAGCGTCAGTTCGCAGGGCTTCCCCGAGGCCTGTATTTCAAAGCAGATTTGAATAAGGAAGTGCCCCCTGCACCCAAAATAAGGTTTGCACCCCCATACACGGGGGTGTATGGAGTGTGGGGGTGCAAACCTTATTTTGGGTGCAGGGGGCACTTCCTAGAAAGGTGATTGTGTTCACATAATGAGATACCTTGGTTTTTTTCCAGAATAAGACGCAAGGTAAAATGTTCGTCATGGAATAGTGAAGTTGAATCCTATGATTCTATTCGACAAGTGGCAGAGCCTTCTATTGGCACAAGGAGCCTTGCTGTAGTGGAAGGTGTGTATTCTGCTGGTGAAATGCTCCTTGCACTAGAGAAAGGTCCTGCAGCTGCTAGCATATTGTCATAGGATGGACTTATAGGTGTGGCATGGACCGGGGCCGACATAAAACCAGACCCCCCCCCCCCAGGTCCCACTTGTCTCAGTTTTGCCTACTAATAAAGTATGAGCTGAAATCACTCGACTGCAGTGTTCCCCCTAAGCTGAGTTGGTGTGAGCCAGCTCACAGTTTTTTAGCCTCTGGCTCACACATTTTTGTCGTAGCTCAAGAAGGATGGGGCTCCAGAGCAAACTAGTTTATACAGTAGCCAAATCGCTTGCTCACAACTTTACTGCCAGTAGCTCAAAAAGTAGGATTTTTGCTCGCAAGACTCCACAGCTCAGAGGGAGCATTGCTCGACTGTGCCTCTTGAACCCAGGACATTATACTCTCCCTCTGAGCCACAGTCCTTCCCATCCCGCACAGCTCAGGGGCAGAAGGCGAGAGGCAATGTCGTGTAGTGGTTACAGTACCAAATCAGAACGAGAGAGACTCGGGCTCAAATCTGCACTCTGCCATAAAGGTCACTGGCAGACTATGCCCCATCCCGCCTTCTCAGCCCAGCCTACCTCACAGGGTAGCTGAGGAGGAGGAGGAGGAGGAGGAGGAGGAGGAGGAGGAGAGATTGGATTTATGCCCCGTCCTTCACTCGGAGTCTCAGAGCGGCTTACAATCCCTTCCGCACAACAGACACCCTGTGAGGTAGGTGGGGCTGAGAGAGCTCTCTGGAGGACGGCCCTTGAGAGAACAGCTCTGACAAGAACTATGGCTTGCCCAAGGCCACACCAGCAGCTGCATGTGGAGGAGTGGGGAAACATCCTCATGCCTCCTGCCCTGAGCCCCTTGAAGGAAGGCAGGATAACAAGGCGAGAGATGGGCGGGTGGCCCGTCTTGGTTTAGGATGTCCTCTCTGGGACCCACAGCCTCAGAGGTGGCCTCCAGGTGAAAGGTGGGGGGGCTTCCAAGCAGGCTTCTCATTGTTGAAATTACATTTTATATGGTTATTTATTTACTTACTTCATAGATACCCCAACTTTCTCCCCAATCGTTCTTACCTTGATCTCCTCTCCTCCGTTTCATCCTCACAACAACCCTGCGAGGTAGATCACTTTCCCTATGAGGAAAGGTTAAAGCGCTTAAGGCTCTTTAGCTTGGAGAAACGACGACTGAGGGGTGACATGATCGAGGTTTACAAGATTATGCATGGGAAAGAGCAGGT